CCAGGATTTAACCAAGGAACACTCTCTTTTTAAATTCTGAGATGGGCTCTCACTAAGTTGCAGAGGCTGGCCCAGAACTTGTGATCCTACGTTAGCCTCCCACGTTGCTGGATGACGGGCTTTTTGTTGTGGTGGTTCTCCTTCAGGTACTGGGGACTGAACTCAAGGCCTCACACAACAAGGCTGGGGACAAACTCAGTGGTGGAGTGCTCGCCCAGCATGCACAAGGCCTTGGGTTCAATCCCCAGTACTGCAAAAAGAAAAAATGGAGAAGGAAAGCTGACTTGCTCTTTCTCCCTCAGCCCAGCCCTGGGCCAGCAGGGGGAGGGCCATCAGTTGATGGGCTGAGAGAGACCCCAGGCGTCCCAGCCAGCCCCTCCCAGTGAATTGGTGCCTTGCTGGGGTTGGGTTGTGAAGCCTGTGGGTATTTTCATCCAACTCAGCCCTGTGGCCACCCTGGGGCACAGTGGTCTCCAGGGCTGTGAAAAATGGGTAAGTCAGAATGGCCTTTCCACTAGCAGGGCAGGAAGGCTCTTCCAGGTGCTGTCCATGGAGCAGAGGGTCTATGCTGAAGGAGGCCTTTCAACCTGGCAAGGAGAGGCATGAACCTTTTACTGCACCCTCCCCCCGACTGGGGACTTGGAAGGACAGAGGTTGTCTCCCTCTTCCTCTGTCCAGGACCAGGCCAGTTGAGTGCGGGGGCAGTGGGGAACAGTGTGGAGACACCGAGGGGCTTGGTGGGACGGGGCCCCAGGTCATGGCCATGCAGGTGAGGGTCTCTGAATAACCTTCCACCTTAAGGTGGGTTCAGAGCCACCGGCCTGTGCTGCCCCTTTTGGCCCTTTGTCTTGAGTGCCAGGGCATACCTTGGCTGAGGGGCCCTCCTCCTGGCCAGCTCAGGCTGAGGCCAAGCTAGTTCCCGCCCTGTTCTTCCCCGGGACAGAGCTTGGGGCAGGGTGGGAGTTCAGGAGCTGAGAAGAGCAGGAAGGTGGGTGGGACAGACTCTGGTCGTGCCCTCCTCGGACATGGACTCGGTGCCCAGGGAGGGACCCCGTTGGCATCGTCACCCACGGGCGTAGCAGCAGGATCAGCGGGAGGTTGGACACCAGCCTGAAGACCCGGAGCGCCCTCGGAACAGGAGGAGGAGGGCCTTGGGGGAGAGGAGGAGCCAAAACGGGACGACGTCTCTGATTGGCCAGAATTTTGCACGTGGCCGTCTCAGCCAATTGAGGAAACCCACTGTGGTACGCGGTCCTTGGCCCAGGCTGCTCGCTGGCCCCGCCCTCTCCGCCGCGGCCCTCGGAACTTCCGCACCCCGCGCGGATCTCGGCGGTGGCGGGTTTGAATGGCGCGGCGTCAGCCCCGACGCGGGAAGGGGGTCCTCCTCTGAGGCTCCTTCCTCGTCGCCCGGCCCCATCCCTCCCGGCTTCACCCTCACACACCCTGGCCCACCCTTTCAGGAACCGGTGACCACAGGAGCCGGGCTGTTTGGGAATTGTGTGGACAGGTGGCTTAGACCCAGGGTTCCCCGGCCCCGCTGGCTTCGTGGTGTACAGAGGGATTAGTCTAGCAGCGGATTAACAGAGCTAGACAAAATGGTTAATTGCTGCACCTTTTAGAATTTCTCCGGAACCCTTGATGGTTGGTTCAGTGGCTGTAACTGGAAACGACTGAGTGAAGGAGGTCACAGCACTGGTACCAGCAGTGCAGCCCACTGGGAGGCTGGCCCCCTGCAGAGCCTGGAGGGTGGCGGTCGTCTCTGCTGCAAATGCAGTTCCAGTGTTGAAGATAACAGCTAAACTCTCCAGAAGGGAAAGACTTCTAGGGACAGAGTGGGCCTCCAGGCCTGGCAACGCATGGGGCAAGCTTCCCTGCAACACCTGTCTCACTGCTCTGCCTCCCCGTCCCCAGGCATCTGACCCTCCGTCTGGAGCCCACGGGGGCTTCCTAGCTCCCTCCCTTTTAGGCCTCTGCACATCTCTCCTCGGAGGGTCCGCCAGACCACTCATGAAATAGCAGCTCTGGTTGGGCATGGTGGTGCATGCCTGTATTCTCAGGTAATCTGGAGGCTGAGGCAGAGGACTGAACATTCCAGACCAGCCTCAGCATAGGTTAACAAAATTCTGTCTCAAAATAAAAACAAAAAAAAAATGTAAAGGGTTGGGGTGTGTAGCTCAGTAGTAGAGTACTTGCCTAGCATGTGTGAGGTCCTGAGTTCTATCCCCAGTACCACAAAAATAAGTAAATAAATGGAAGCTGTTGCCTTCACTCTGCCCTCTTATCAATTTTCAATTTTCCTCCAAAATAGAAATCGCCACTTTGAGCACAGTACATATTTATCATGCCTCATGTCTCTCATCACTACAAAAACCCGTTTGGAGGGATGAGGCCTTAGTTATCCCCAGGCCTAGAGCACAGCTCAGCTATGTTAGGGACCCCAGTGTACTTTCCCAGAGTCCTCAGACCCCATTACCTGAGGGTGAACAATGGGGCCAGAGTCTGATCCATCAATAACTAGAGGACCAGCTGACTAACGTTCTGGGTCACCTGCATGTTCAGGTCACTGCTCAAGCCTAAGCAGAATCCAGACCGGGGCAGGATGAGTGGTGGGTAGACCTGGTTTCCCCTTCTATGAGCAGCTATGCTGGGATAGTGGGTAGCAGCCAAAGTGCAGAGCATGCTACCGAGTCCTATCGGAGATGTGGATGTAGATGTAGATAGATGTAGACCCCAGGAGAGAGAACTGCTCCCTGCCAACAAGTGGAATGACTCACTGGGAAGCTCAGTAGTGTCCCCTGGAGGCAGTGAGAGGGGCTGTGGGAGATGCTTCAAGTGGTTGGAGGAAACCATGTTCCCTTTGAGACCCCACCCTGCACCCAGGAGGACCCAATGGGTTGGGACTCCTGTGGGGGGCCTTTCTGCCTTCTAACTCTGGGCAAGGTTTGCTGGAAGGTCCTTGTGTGGGGAAGGTCACAGAACATCCAGATTTGCTGCCTCCCTGGAGAGGGCCCCCCAGAATGAGCAGTCATACACCTCAGGGAGGCTGAGTGTCAAGCAGATTTGTCATGGCAGGACACCCAGAAGGGAAGCAGACCAGCTAGTTCTCTGGGCTGGGATCCAGGTGCTTGTCCCAGGCTGGAGAGTTGGCAGGTCCCCCAGTGCTGCAGGGAGGAGGGAGGACTCAGGACAGGACCTTTGGACAAGGCAAGAATTGGGGGGCCCACTCCTGGGCAACAGAGTGATCTGGACCCTGAGGCCTGGGAGAGCTTTGGGAGGGAGGAAGCCTGTCACCGTCAGGAGACTTTGCAGGTGACCTGTGGGGCCTGAAAGGGTACGTCTGCCCTTGGGAGACGGGTGAGGATCTTGGGGACAACTTGTTTTTGCTGCAGCAGGAGCCGAGGTACTGCCTACCAAGCAGGGCATAGGTGCCCACAGGTGAAAGGGACGCTCAGGCGAAGTGGGAACTCTGGAAGCAGTAGCCACATGGCATGAATCACTGTTTATTGGCTGTGATTCCATCTGGAGAGAACACACGTGAGGGCCCCCGGCATGCAGGAGGAGGCGCAGGGACAGACGGACAGGTAACACCCACAGTCTACGATAAGCTTGGCGGCCGGGCGCCCCGTGTGCTGGGAACAGGATGCGGGGTTAACGCGAGAGAACGCCCAGTCTGCTCAACGTGTAATAACAGGCATTTTAAAAAGACGCGGACCCCAGAGGCGCAGGGGCGGCGCAGGGCAAACCCGGCGCATGTGTGCCAGGTGAGCTCTCGCTGCCACAGACAGAGGGGCGTTCGTAGTTAGTATTGCAGTCTAATTGTTATGGCTTCTCTAAAGAGCTATGTAAGGTCATGAAGGCCCCAGGCCACGCCCCTGGCCCGCAACTCGTGGACACTTAATGAAGTTTTGATGTGAACAGAAAGGGCCAGGGGACCAAGACGACGGCCTTTCGGTGGAGATAAAACTCATCAAATACAGAGACCTCATTTACCTGAGATTCAACGGATTGTGATGCAAATTAAACAGGATGGAGGCAAACAGGGATGGGCGGCTCGAGGTGGCCGGGCCTTTTGGCTAAACTCCACCGGCTGGCAGGAGGGACCAATTGGTGGCCCCAGCCCAGGGCCCCGCACCCTCCGGCCACCAAGACAGTCGGTCCCCGCACCTCGGGCCTCCCTAGCTCTGGAAGGTGGGAGTGGAGTGGGTGGCTACCGGGTTCCCCGGGGAACAACAGCCACCCCCATGGAGGACAGGCCACCAGGGAGAGGCCCGACTTGGTGCGTGCTACAAAGGGGTGCCTAGGGACTAGAGGATTGTCTAAGAATCCCCCAAACCTATTGCTTTGTTCCCCGTGGCATGGTATTCCTTAGAAGAGAGGGACAGAGAATGCTGGGGCCGCAATGGAGAGGCGGGGGCGTGGGCAGCCAGCGGACAGGAAGACGGAAGCAGGGTCCAGCGACCCAGGTTGGTGCATGGGGTAAGGGCTTGGAGCTTGGCCGGCCTCAGGAGGGGCACAGGCACCAGCTGCTCACCCCCCAAACCCAGCCCAATCAGCACAACCAGCTCCCGCCCCCACTATGGCTGTGCTCCTGAGTTTGAGCCCCCACAAGCGCCACCCATGCAGGGCTATTGCACCCAGGGTCAAGGGGCTGACCCTTAAGGTCCCTGACCTCCACCTGGCTGGGTGGACGGCAAACGCAAGGACATTAGTGGAGGGTGGGCCGACCACCAGCAGGCAAAGGAGCACGGAGAGGGGCACGGACTGCAGGGGCCCCGGGTTGCGCCCTTACCCAGGGTTGGGGGTGTTGATGGCAGTGCGGGGAGAGGGTGGAGGCTCCCGAGGCGGGAGGGGCGCGGGCAGGATGGACCTAGGACTATGGCTTATATTGGCATTGGGGGTGCTGCTTCTGCTCCCGATGTCCTTTCCGGGCCTCCGCAAGGGTCTGTCTGTACAGGGGGCGGGGCGGGGGCTCCGGCTCCCGGCGCTGTCCAGGTCAGGCGCTACTTCTTGAACATGTCCTGCAGCGGCCCAGGCAGGTACTTGATGACTGTATCCAGGATGCTCTCATCCTCCTCCTCCTGCTCATCTCCGCAGCCCGGAGGGATGGCTTTCTTGGGACGAGTCAGGCTGCCCTCGGTGTTGGCCTCCATGGCCGCCTGTGCCTCCGCCTCCCGCTCCTCCTTCTTCTTGATACCATACTGCAGGGAGAGGCAGGGAGGGCAGGTCAGGCAAGGGGCTGTGCTCATATGGTCCTGCCTCTGTGGGGCTCACCAGGCAGAAAGGGCCAGGGGACCGAGACAACGGCCTGCACTGGGGGACAAGCCAGGGACCCAGAATGTGCTCCAAGTGGCTGAGAAAGGCCTGAGAGGAATCCCCCAACCCACCACCCACTGGAGGACCCATCAGGGAGAAGTGATCCCACCACAAGGGGTCCCTGTGGGAAGGGAAACCCGGAGAACAGAGGAGCATCTAAAAGGCGCTGGAGGTGGGGCATAGCCTGGGCAGGTGTGGGCCCAAACCCATTCTTCCAGCCCTGCTCCCTGAAGCCTGGAGCCCAGCTTCAGAACCAGAGCCTTCACTGTAGCCTCCCATCCCAGTCCCTTGTCCTCCACCTGGTCTCACACCCCCAACTTGGCCAAGGGCCCTAGATGCCAGTGAGCTGTTCCCTGCCAGAATGCCCTGGAATCCCACTTACGTGTGACCTTGGCCCACACACCTGCACGTCTCTGCCTACCCCACTTCTCATCTCCTGGGCTGTCCCAGGGTCTCCTGTTTTTTCCAGTGCTAGGAGAAAACCCAGGGCCTCAAGCATGCTAGGCAAGCACTCTACCCTGAGTCCCATCCCCAGACAGGAGTTTGCCCAGGGGCCCAGGCTGGCCTCCAACTTGCCAAGGAGCTAGGATTGCATGTGTGAGCCACTGAACCCAGGTGGAAACAGGGTGTTCACAGGTGTGATAAGGTAAGGATGGAGATGAGATCATTCTGGGTTTGTGAGGCCCTAAGTCCAGTGACAGTGGCTTTGTAAGAGACACCTTGACCAGAGGTTGCCAACCAAGGAGAGGTAAAGGGGGTTTTCCTTGTCCTCTCAGCCCCTCTCATCTTTAACAGAGGTGGGAGCGGAGGGTCTCAATGACAGGTGAGAGGGTAGCCCAAGAACACGCTGACAGGGGTGACCTGCCAGCACCTTGCAGCACCAGGAGCTCAGTGGGGTGAGAGGGCAGCAATGGGTACTGGTCACACCCACCTAGGTGGCCTCCTAGGACAGCCTTGCCCCACACAGGCGGCAGCCTGGGGCCAGAAGGGGAGGGGGGAGATGTGTGTGGGCTGGACAGAGATGCAGCCAGAAACTAGGTCAGGCCAGCACACAGATAGGACTGGCTCTGCAGCACCCCAAGAAGAGAACCTGGGAGCCACTAGCCAGCTCAAGGGCCACTAGCCAGACCACGACAAGGCCCCAAGGGGCTGACATCGGAGGTCAGACAGGCAGTCCTGAGAGCTCTGTTGAGAGGCCACAAGTGCCAATCCATGACTGGAGCCCCAGACCTGACCAGACAGACCACCCTGTGGGACCTGTCATCATCCGCACAAGCTCGGGCTGAGCCTTGAGCCAGCACAGGGGACTCAGGGAGGGAGACTCTGGGTGGGCACCCACACAGGCTAACTCCTGCCAGAGCCTCATCTCCTTCCCAGAAGGAAGGTTCTGGCTCAGCCACCTACCGAGGGTGGCTGGAAGCACATGCAAATCAGTGGTTCGTATGCAAATCCAGCAGCTCACACACAAACAGGGGGTGGACATGCAAATCAGGTGAGGATATGCAAATCAGATGGTAAGCATACAGATCAGGTTATGTGTATGCAAATCAAGCATGGGTGTGCCAGGCTCCCCTCCTGGCCCCAACACACTCCACAGCTCTGTGATGGGGACTGAGGGAACTGCTCCAGGAATGATCTCCACCACCTGAAACAGACCCAAATGGTATGCCCACCTCTCTCCCTCTGCGGGAACCTGGGTCACTGGAGGCTCACAGATTCGGGAGCTGGGCTCAGCCCTCAGCCCCACATCTTCAGGAAGCCTTAGACAGCAGCTCGCCCACCCCCCAGCTCCTGAGATGGGGTACATGCCGCCCAGGGGAGGCTGGGGAGGTCAGGGCCAGTGAGCAGCAGGGTCTGGCCAGCAAGGGCATCTGGGGAGGCACAACTGACTGGCAGGGCTGGGTTGTCCACCTGTGGGGAACAGGGCACGGGGCACCAGCTGCAAAGGCCCAAGGTCAGGGGCTGTGCCAGCGTCAGGACGTGGGTCTGGGCAGCAGGTGTGAGGATGGGAGCCCAGCACCTCCTGAGCTCCCTGCTGGGTGGGACCAGGCAGCACAGCAGGGCTCCTCCTGCAGCTCCTGGCGCAGGGGGGGGGGGGGTTAGGCCTCTGTAGATCCTCCCTGCTTAACTTGCTGGAAGATGAATTTCTCTAAAATTTCCAGGAAACAGAGTAGAGAAGGCACCGGCCTTTCCCTCCACCTTTCCTCCTGACCCCTGAGTTCTGCGTATCCCACACCATCGCTGCCTGCGCTCGGCTCTGTGCTCTCCACCATCACTGTTCCCTGTGTCTGTCTCTTCCTGTTTGCCTGTCTCTCCTCTGAATGGCTGTCTCTGTCTGTGACTCCCTCTCCCTTTTCCTCCCACCCATGCCCTCTCCTGATACACTGCCAGCCAGGACACGGCCGAGGTGGGGTCTGCCTCCCCACCTACCTCTGACTGAGGCCCAGCCTGACTCAGGCTGCAGCAGCTCAGGTCTGTGGGGCCAGGGAGGACACATGAGCTGCTGTCCAGGGAAAATCAGCAGGTGCTTCCTGCAGGACCCCAGAAACCATCCAGGGACTAAGGGGGTGTCGTGACAGAGGAGGGGGTGTCACTGGGGTGTACACGGACAGGGCTCTGCGCTGTGCAGGCTCCTGGGGCAGGGTGGGGAGGGGAGCCCTTGAAATGGCCCTCTGTGGGCCCTGGCTGTGTCACCTACCCCGACCCACTTCTTCTGCCCACGTCTAGTTTCTACGCAAGGCTCAGCAGAGCTGGCTGTCTCCAGGGTCTGAGCTGTCCCACCCCCAGCCTGGGCATCACAGGGAGTCTGAGCCAGAGGACTACGGCAACGCCCCCTCCCCATGTTCCTGGCCACCAGGCCTATGGCACTCAGAGCTAGGCACTAGACCAGCTGCAGGAGGGACCCAGGAAAAGCTCTGTCCCAACCTACCCCAAGCCCACCTCTGTGTGGGAGGCAAAGATCCCCACTAGGCACATGGGCCATGGGTGGCCTCATGGCCACTCTGCCCACCCAGCTCCACCCAGAGACCCTGGACAGAGACCCCTGTTCCCACTGCTGCACCTGGTTTCCCCCAGCCACTGCAGGCCCACAGAGGGGGTGGGGCCTCTGCCCTCCTCCAAGGCTCCTCCAAGCCCCCACCCCATCTGCAGGGAGGAGGGTGGACACACAGGGCTGTGCTCCTGGGGGGGACGGACCCAGTGGCAGTCAGAGTCTAGACACATGGGCCTCTCTGCCAACACAGTCTTGAACTCAGAGCCCACTCTGCCCCTATTTCCCCACCTGTGACAAGGATACAGTCCTCTCTGGCAGCCCCAGGTCAAAGGTCACCCAGAGAACTCAGAAGCAGGCATGCCTGGCTGTCACATCTCCTCAGGCCTCACTGCCCAGCCACCTATAGACGCAAAATGTTGGGCCCCCTCCCTGGGGGTGGACTGACCCCAAGGGAGGCCAGGGTCCTGCCCACGCCCTCCTGCCGGGCTCTCCTGGCCCCGGGAGAAAGGGCCAACCTTTCAGGAGCAGGAGGGCCAGCCCACGGCAAGCCCCTAGTACAGATGAGACCCCAGGACTACATCCTAGAGCCTGTGGTGACCCGCTGGCGGCCCAGGTGGTGCCCACCTTGTCGCGGATGCCCTGCCGCATGACCTCGCGCTCGGCCTCCATCTTGGCATACTTGGCCTTGCGCTCCTCCTCCTCCTGCCGCAGCGCCTCCTGGCGCTCCTCCTCCTTCTTGGCGGCATCAGGGTCCTTCTCCTCGTCACCACCCAGCATCTTCCCCATGTCCTTGGTGGCTCCTGGGGACAGAAAGGCAGAGTCAGGCCACAGGCCCTGGCGCCCTCCAGTGGGGAGGGCTTGTGTCGGCAGGCGCAGTGTGGCCACGCATGTGTGTCTGAGCCCCCGAGTGCTGGCCTGTGTCCTCCTGGGTCCCGTGTCCCGCAGAGGGTGGCCTCCAGGGTGTGAGCAGAAGGGTGGCATGCAGACACCAAGTCTGGGCCAGGATGGCAGCAGCAAGGACACTGCCTGGCACTGGCACCAAGGCCCCAGTTCCTGCCCTGCCAGCCACCACTGTCCTCACAAGCTCCTGATCCTCAGGCCCCAACATGGCCCTGATCTCCTGTGTCACGGGCCACAGGGCAGACTATAACACAGCCCACACCGCAGGTGCCAGGCAAGCCGTGGCCCTGTGGTGGCTCTGGGGAGCAGGGCTGGGCATCACCCAGGAAGCGGCCTACGTCACCACAGCAGCAATCTGGACTGCTTTTGTGCAAACCTTGCCTCTAGAACAAGCTGATTCACACTGAAATGAGGGAGGCCATTAGCTCTTCCCGCTTTGGGAAGTGCTGGCACCTTATAGTGTCTCTCCCCCCACCCCCCTGAGGGCATTGTAAGGGCAGCTGAGCCCTCCCATGGGTGCTCAGCTCTCTCTCTCTCTCTCTCTCTCTCTCTCTCTCTCTCTCTCTCTCTCTTTTTTCCTTTTGGTACCGGGGTTTGAATTCAGAGGCACTCAATTACTGAGCCCCTAACCCAGCCCTATTTGTATTTCATTTAGAGACAGGGCCTCACTGAGTGGCTTAGTGCCTCTCCATTGCTGAGGCTGGCTTTGGACTCCTGCCTCAGCCTCCCGAGCCACTGGGATCCCAGGCATGCCAGGTTGGGTGCTCAGCTCTTGGGGCTGTTACAAATCAAACTGTGGAGTTGAGACAGAGTTAAAAATAGACAGGATACAAATATGTAACAATAAATCCCATCCACAGGTATAACTACAATGCACAGATAAAAAATAAGGGAAAAATAAATAAACACGACCCAGTTGCTCCTTGTGGCCAGTGGGTTCCCTCGGACAGCACACCGCTCCCCCTGCCCTCCAACAGTGGCCAGAGTCTGCACAGAACCTGCACCGTTGCCTCCAGGGTCATCTATGCTTTTAGGACAAGTCAGGGCTTCCCACATGTTTTTGATCCTCGATTGGCTAACTCTAGCAAACGTGGGATGCTGTGTCTATGAGAAAGGTCCGCAGCTGAGGCTGTGGGGACCACCACAACCCAATTCTACAGCAGGGAAACAGGAAAAGGGCAATTTCACCTCACCCTGAGAGAGGTGAGAGCACCTGCGGAAAGGACCCAGGGCAGGGCTCAGCAGGCACAGGCCGCCTTCCTGGAGGCCCCACCGAGCAGCCTGAGGAGCAGGGCGGGGGCGCCAGTGTCTGAACGTCCCTGGAGCCCTGATGACCCCTGCAGAGCTCCACAAGACCCCCGAGAGCTCACAACACTGCCCGTCCATTCCCAGCCAGCTGGGCACAGAGGACACAAACTGCTTAAGCATAAATTTGATGAGGAAACCTGTAGCTGAAGATGCTATCGTCCATTTAAAGTCTAAGGCTGGGAGAGACACGGGTCCTGGTGGATGGCGGCATCATGAAGGTGTCCATGGCCAGCCTGTCGTCATGAGCAGCCTTCACACCTCCAATCCAACCTCCAAGTCCTCACAGCCTCTGTTTTTGGAGTCTGGATAGAATTCAGGTTCCCATGGCAGAATAAATGCCAGAGAAGCATGTGCCTTCAGGGGAAAGCAACTCCCGGGACTGGGGACCTCAGGGCAGAGGGGCACTGGGTTCTCTGGCTGGAGGTGTCCCAATATGCTCATGTCCACTGCCGTTGCTGGGGAAGCTCAGGCTCTGTGGGGAAAGAGGCCACCACGGCCGTGGGGAAGGCACCCTGCAGAATCTAGCACACGTGGGCTCCACACAGCACACACTCCACGGAGGGACACAGGGACGCAGGCGTTAGGACCACCACAGCCCTAACACCACGCCTCTGTACATGGCTGGACACAGGGCACTGTGTTGGGCAGTGGACACAGCCCAAGGGGACCCCAGGCATCCCGGAGGGTGCAGCATGCCAAGGTGGGCGGGGGACACCTGCGGATGGGCATGTCACAGACCCCGCTGCAGGAGAGCGAGGCGGGAGCTCTGGGTAGGCACAGCAGGTTCCTGTGGTCGAGGAGGGCAGAGGCTGCATGCCAGGCTGGCATGGAACCAAGCCGGAAACGTGTCGGGGGCCTTTCCAAGTCTCACAGGGTTCTTACAAAGACCAGTCGGAAGTTAGTCTGCACCACAAGGGAAGACCCCCAGGCCCACCAGCATGACCACCACAAAGCAGAAAATAGGAAGTGCGGGCAGAGACGCAGGGAGAGTGGCACCCTCATGCCTCGACAGAGCAGTGCACGTGGCCAGCAGCTCAGACAGAAATCGGCACAGCAGCAAGGCTGCACTGAGCAAGAAGCCAGCAGGTGCTCAGGGCAGTCCTGCCAACTCCCCGTGTGAGGCCTGGAGCAGAGGTGGAGGCTGGGCTGGCTGGAGGAGAACATTCTGGAAGCAGAGTAGCTGGCTGCATGGCACTGTGGCTGGGCTCTTGCCACTGAGCCCTGCACGTAAGCAGACTGAAATGGTAAATTCCATGTCATGTGTCTCTTATCACTATAGAAAGAGAAATGTAAATCCCAGATGACTCATAACTCTGTCTCCCACAACAGCCAGCCTCAGAGACTCAACGTGCTTCTCAGAGTCAGCACACCTGGCCGGACAGGGCCTGGCCCAGGAACAGCAGGACAGACACCAGACGCACCAGCACGTGCAGAGCCCAGCACGGCATCTATAGTGAGGCTCCAGCCCTGCAGAACCAGAGGGTTGGGCTCGCCATGCGGTCCTGAGCAGGCAGGTTCCTGACAGCTGGGGACCAGGGCCACACTGCTCCCACAGCCTCCACAGAGGACAGGACCTGGAGCCAACAGCAGCATTGAGCCTCAGAAGACAACAGCCCAGACTTCTTGGCGCCGGATGTGGCTCTGCAAACCGGGGCAGGAAGCAAGTATGAGATGCCCCGCAGCAGGGGAAAAGGCTGGGGATACTGTGGACAGAAAGGGGCCGGGGAGGGATGGGCGGGGTAGGGCTGGTGAGCTCTCCCTTCTCCTCTGCAAGGGGCCCAGGGCCAGCAGAAACAGCCGCACTCTCTGTCCTAACACGCCGCAAGCTGAATGAAGTACATTCTCCAAAAAATGTAAAAAGCAACGATCTCTAAGAACTCACAGATGGGATCTTTCAACATTGACGAGAAGATGATTCCCGTGATATTTAGAATGTTCTTGGAATGGAGAAGACAGAAGGAAATCCTCCAGGTTATTTCTGTGAAATTAGCATACAAGCAGTGCTAACAATCAACCCAGAGTCAGACAGCGAGACAGAGACGGCGCAGGACCAGCTCCAGCCTGCATCGCAGCGCAGATGCCATCAGAGAAGGGGCAGCACTCTGTGTCCCCAGGACTCTACAGGAAGACAGCCAGGGACTCTCTCAGGGCCTGAGAGCAGCTCTTACGACAGTGTCCTGCGCCTCCTGACCCCACACTGTCCGGAGGCACAGCCACCATATCAGCCGCGTGCCCTACATGCTACTCCGGGCACCCCACGGCCCCAGCAGCTTTCTGCCTTCTGTTCCTGCAGACTCGGAGCTGACAATGTCCTGCATCCCCACTGCTGGGGCCGGGCAGGGATGGGCCGGGTAGGGCTGGTGAGCTCTCCCTTCTCCTCTGCAAGGGGCCCAGGGCCAGCAGAAACCCCTGCCCTGCCTGTCTACTGCCCCCTCTCTCTACACATGGTCAAGGGGTTTGTTCGGTGACAGAGGGGCCCATGACACAACCGCGACAGAATTGCCGCAAACAGGGAAAGGTGTGCTATGTGCACAGAATCCACTTTTATTTTTACTTGCTTTTTGGTACCCAGGTGCTGGGCCACTGAGCCATGTCCCCATGCTTTTTCACTTTCTATTTTGAGAGAGCACCTTAGTAAGTTGCTGGGGCTGGCCTGCAACTTCTCATCCTCCTGCCGAGCCTTGTTAGTCTCTGTGATTACGGGCGTGCGACACCACACCAGCTAGAACCCCTTTTTAAGCAGCCGCATGGAGGTGTGAGCGACACTCGGCACCCTGTAGGGCTGGGGCACTTGCACACATCTTGCAGACATCCTGATGGAGACGGTGGCCCAGGGGCCCCTCCACCCCAGCGCCTGACACTGCCTCCTTCAGGACATCACAGTTCATGGCCGGCGGCTGGCTCAATGGCTGCAAGGGCTCCCATGTGGAGCTGCACCCATGCAGAGTGTTGCGGCCCTGGCCATGGTCACCCTGTGGACACACCTGCTTGCCGGCAGCTCTGCTGGTGCCCGCGGGGAGGTCAGTGCACTACAGCTGCCTGTAAGTTCTGAGCAAGGGATGGTGCGGTTGTGCAGTGAGTCTAGGTTTCACCTCTAAGGAACTGCCACGCTTCCCCCAGTGTGGTGTGCCCAGCCTGCCTCCCCACAAACTGACCACCTGTCGCGGCCTCTCGGTCCTCGCTATCCTGAGTGGGTGTGATGTGGCTCCTGGTTACAGTTGAATCTGTATTTCCCTCATGACTAAGGAGGCTGAGCATCTTCCAGTGAGTCTGTTAGTCATCCTCATCCTCTTTGGAGAATATAGACCTCATGGTTTGTATTCTCAAGAATAAACTGTTGAAGAACAGCCACAGCCAGGCACGGTGGCCACACCTGTAATCCAACAGCTCGGGAGACAGGACTGTAAGTTCAAGGCAATTTAGCACGGCCCTGTCTCAAAATAAAAAGGGCAGGGGATACAGCTCCATAGTCAAGCTCCCCTGGGTTCAGTCCCTGGACAACAAAGAAGGACGGGGGAGCTTTAAGGAGAATGGCAGGGTGGCTCGGCAGCTCTGCTGCCACCCAGGACCCCAACGCCAGCACCCCTCAGGG